CTTCCACACTCCAACGCCTAATCATGCAAAAAGCAACTCTCCTTTCTCTTACACACCTTGAACAACGTAAACATGATGAGGAAAAGGAAGGTTTCTTCTCCCACACTCCAAGCCATGCATGACACATCAAAGACTCATGAACCCAATACTTTCCTCATTCATGATTAAAAAGTAGATCCATTTTTCCCCTCCCCCTAGGCGAAATTGTCATCGTGAAAGGAGTCAAGAGCATGACTTGTCTTACACACTCTATATTGAGTGTTGCACACTCAAAGCTACCTTATTCAACCTCCATGCATTGGGAAGAACACCATGACACCTTAAGCTACCACCCTCCCTCTTTATGCGAATCCCTCATCACTTGGTGCATGACATGGAGCTTGCTTGTTTTACACACCACACATTGAGTACTCTACACAACCATGACACACGCTAACCAATGATTCCTTATTGGTGATTTGAAATTGAACCTTGCTTTCTCTACCCTAGGCGTGAGATGTAAGGAGGAAACCCTCAAAATCCCTTCCTTCCCTAAATCCACGTGAAAGACTTCATGGAAAGGAGATGGAGTATAGAACACTCAAGCATGATTACCTCTCTTCCCCATGCGCACACCTCCCCAAAGGACCAAGGGGAATAAGTGACTTATATGACACCTTGGTGTCCTACACTCTACACACTCTCATTATCCTCTCCCCATGTTTATGACAACTTTGAACAATGTGAGGAGACTTGCTTACCCCACACTCAACCAAAGACCTAACCTATCCTATCCTAGGCATGATGATTAAGGAGACTTGAATAAAAAGGTGTACGATCAAAGGCCTCTCCCCTTCCTAGCCGTACACTACCTAAAGAACCAAAGCAAGGATACACTCCTTCACCCTCTCTAGCGTCGACCACCATCTCATAGACAAGAAACAAGTGAACCAACACCTCTCCTCTCCTCTTAGACTTATGTAGAGAGAAATCAAGAAGTTGTTGGAAGCAACTCTCAATCTTAGAAGGCTCCTTGAAGATCAAGTGTGAAGCATTGGCTAAGATTACATCTTAGATATCATCATTAAGGTAAGATCTTATGAACCCCTTCATCTTTTCAAGCTAGTAGAAATGAACCCCAACTAATTTACATGACTAGATCTTAGACTAATAAAGCCATGCATGCATCTATCACCCTTGAAAGCACCTCCTAAGTGTATTATTTCTAAATGGCCTAACCTAAAATGGTATACATGCACCCTATAGTTCTTAGAAACATTTACTAAGCACCCTAACTCTAAAGGGTCGAACCCTAATAAGCCTAAAAGGGAAATCGTGAATGTTTTCTTAGTACCATGATGTATGGCCGAAGTGTATGCCATAGAATAGGACCTATGCATGAAAGCAACTAGCAAAAATTATCTCCTAGGCATTTTCATCGTAAAGGGGCCGAATATATGTCAAGAAGGAAATTAAGTTTAGATCTTATAATTCTAGAGCTATGTACTAAGGTTGAATAAGTGATTAGGCCAAACCGAAGCTTGAAAAGAGATTCAAGACACTAAGACCTTCATTTGGCCGAATCCATCACCTACGGGAAGAATTTACAAGGCGAAAAAGTGTAAGTGATTTACGGTTGTTGTAGTGGTTTCCCTATGGTTGCCACCCCTTTATGTTAAAGTGTGGTCTGACTGCAATTTGTTGTATGATGTTGTACATAATATGTTTGGTTGTTTGGAACTAATGTTTTGTTCATGCAAGTTGTATTATGATGGCCTGTGCACTAATACCGCAGAGGCAACCTGACGAGGACCCTGGGTATTCGTCCGTAAGACCATGGAGAGTAATTGCCATGGCAGGATTGGTATGATGAAATGAAAGCATGATTATATTCCAAAGTATGTTTCAAATGTTTTCCATTCTATTATTGTATATGTTATTATATGACAGTTGCAGGAGTAAGCATCATGGTTTGGAGGTTGCTCCAACTGTGAGTCCTTACTGAGACCCCCAATCTCACCCCTCTTTGGGGAATCCCTTTCAGGTAAAAGCCAAGAATGAAGATGTGGGTAAGGGATGGCAAGCGACTAGTACGCCTGGAAGTAAAGAAAGATGCATTATGCAAGTTGTATTATGATGGCCTGTGCACTAACACCGCAGAGGCAACCTGACGAGGACCCTGGGTATTCATCCGTAAGACCATGGAGAGTAATTGCCATGGCAGGATTGGTATGATGAAATGAAAGCATGATTATGTTCCAAACTATGTTTCAAATGTTTTCCATTCTATTATTTTATATGTTATTATATGACAGTTGCAAGAGTAAGCATCATGGTTTGGAGGTTGTTCCAACTGTGAGTCCTTACTGAGACCCCCAATCTCACCCCTCTTTGGGGAATCCCTTTCAGGTAAAAGCCAAGAATGAAGATGTGGGTAAGGGATGGCAAGCGACTAGTACGCCTGGAAGTAAAGAAAGATGCATTACGTTTATTGCCGGATGACTGTATTAAATTAGTTCGTAACAAGTTATATGTGCACGCTATGTATTTCGTTTTGGATGAGATGTTAGGATATTATGAGCTTTTGGATGGATCTCTAGACATTGAGTAGTAGTACTTACTTTTGGATGACTGTACCTAACTATCATACTTTGAGGTTATCATGATTAAGCTTTAGACGTCTTATAATTTTAGCTAATATGATTGGAATTAGTGTGAGAAACCTTACCCTTATACGGACGTAACAATAAGTGAAAGAGAAACCTATGAAAGGAACGTTTTCATAAGAAATCTTAAAGGTTTCAAATTATATGACTTAGATTAAGACCAAGCCTTTATGGTAGGATAAGTCACCATCCGCATAAGACACTTAAGCAGCCATCTAATTGTAGTAGTCAAAGACGAAATTTATTCCGCTGTGATTAAGCTCCCGAAGTAACATATAAGTACAAGCAATGTTAACACAACAACTAGTAAAAATAGGGTGTTACAGCGCGGGTCCTTCCCTCTAAGGCGGAACGCTCCCCTACCGATTTATTATTTGTACACCCCACAGCTTCGGCAGATCGCTTAGCCCCATTCATCTTCGGCGCAAGAGCGCTCGATCAGTGAGTTATGGCCTCTGATTGGCCGTTTAAGGGCTGCAGCATCTGCCTATGCCTTAATAGCCTTTTCTCTTTAATGTCAGGCTACTTTGATAGAGTAGTGACAAGCTGGTGTTGTCCTTGGTCTATTTGCTTAAGGGCACGATGGACCTTTATTAGTTTCTAGGATGGTTTCCTTATCTCTGAAGGTATGTAAAGGGTGGTTTCACGCACGAAGGTGTCATTGCGCCGAGCTTATGTGCGATGTGTGTCATCGCGTCTTATACTGGGCCTAATGGGTTTTGGGCTTGTCCTTATGTATGTGGGCCTTTATTGGGCCTATCATATTTTATCTAGATCACAACCCGTAAAATAAATATGTCGTATTCGTATCGAAGGTATTATTAACTCGATTTTAAATTTGTACCATATTCGTTATGAGTATATTTATATTCATATCAAATTCGTGTGATGTTGTGTAAACTCAAATTGACATCCTATTTTTTCACGTGTAATACAACGTGATAAATGGCTCATTAACTTTTGTTTTGCTTGAGTGTAAGGATGAAAATAAGTTGTACTTTGTATAAATATACTCGGGCATGTTTCACCAAATTCAAGCTCAAAATAACATATTATAGGCATTTTTTTTACTTGGTTTGACCATTTAATTATAGAAAAAATATTTCTCCAGTAACATAAGATAAAATCATCTCCAATAACCTCAAAATTACATTGTTTACGAGATCTCAAAAAAAAATACAAGGTATTTTAATAATTTTATTTTTTTAATCATGTAATTTTTTTTCCAAACCTCTAAAATGATATTGTTTTGGAATTGCAGGATATAATTTTATTTCATGTTGCAAGAGAAACTTTAATTCCTTAATTAAAATAAGGAAAAAGTGTTTGTCATTTTAAATGACAGAAAGTTATGTCATTTTAAGAGAGATACAGACACAGAAAATTTGAATTTTAAATTAAAAAAAACCACCCACTTTCTCTCTCCCATGATTTTCGTTTTTCTGTGTCTATCTCTTTCCTAAAATGACATAACTTATGTCATTTAAAATGACAAACACCAAACCCTTAAAATAATTAAAAGTTTATTTAGAAACATGTTGAGAAATTTAAATTGTATGATCTTTTCTGACAAGGGTTGTGTATTGCAGGACCGTAAGTTGAGTCACGCGATTAGACTAGGTGACAACCGAGCAGGGGTCTATGTGTTTCACTTTGCACAACCGTTTGTCGCTACTGTTCGCACTAGGTAAACCGCAGTAGTATGGCATAGAAGATTAAGCATGCAACACATGGAGTTGTTTCTCTGCTTCCTTTTTCTAGTAGTTTGAATAAAGAAAATCAAAATAAGGCATGTGATATTTGTTATCAAGCCAAACAAGTTCGTAGTATGTTTCCTTTAAGTTTTAGTAATAGTAAAACATATTTTGATCTTATTCACTGTGACACATGGGGTCTTTATAAAGCTTCATCTTGTTCTAGTGCTTGTTATTTTTTGACAATTGTCGATGGTTACAGTAGAGCTATTGTATCACCCTCCCTTGTATGCATCCAAGAGAGTCGTTTGCTAATCGTTATTAGAGTTGCGGAATTTAGTAGCGAACTTTTTCTTTTAAAATACCCTTGAGTGATGAAAGTGGAAAGCTAATAAGATTTTCTTGATAGAACTTTGTAAAAACCTTGTTGTTTGCTAAGTTGTAAATCTCCCAAAAACAGTTCGTGTACAAAATCAAAATCAAATCGAGTTTTCAAAATATTTTTGTACGGTTTCCAGAATCTGAAAGTAGACACTTGGGGCTTCGCGTGCATATAAAATAATAGTAAATCGGAGTTCATTTGCCCCTCGAAACATAACTCGTAAGTGGTCCGTAAATCGTTAAAAATTCAGCATTTGATAAACGTTAAGAAAGTCCCTTTTCGCAAAACATTTCAGATTTCTTAAAGCAGCCGTTGTTCATAAAAAGACTTAAAGCAGAAATATGTCATAGTTTTACAGTCATCCAAAAATCATCAAGTACCACATAATACAGTCATCCCAAGCTTAAATCAGTCAACAGTGAATAAATCCAGACAGCAGCAAAAATATAACAGAGTTCAACATCCAAGTCCTCAAATGCTTTTACGTCATCCTGCAATTTAAAAATTGCAGCCCCAAAGGGGTGAGAATAAACCTCGTAGTGTGGCAACAAAACCAAATGCAACAGTATTAACTAGGCACAAAATCATAAATAGTCACTTCAAACATTTAATCCTTTTCATCATATATCATAACGCGTATATAACGCCCTTTTTCCTTTACGCTCATAGCACCGTCGTACGCGTAGCATCACAGTGGGTATTCCTAATGGCTCCCATGAAGGTGAATCCCACTGTGGAACCTATGCGGACTGAAGCCAAGTGTCCCCTCTCCTGGTACCAGGCATGCCTATATGATGCATGCTCAGTCACATGTCCTCAATACAAATATATATATATATTCAAGATGTCATGAATCAAGTATACATGCCATGGTATGCAATCGCACGCAACAGAAAAATGTATTATGATGTAAAATGCATGCATATATCATATCATCCTTTCATATTCTTACCATTGGCTCATCGTCATCATAACATACATAGAACAAATGTGAGCAACACATCACAATTCCATACACTAGCCAATAGTCACATTAGGTAATACCGCCTACACATACCTCGTACGTCGAAATTTAAGTTACCAACAAGCAGTGATATAGTCCAACTTCTCAAGGATTTTTCGTACCTAGTTTACAGTATAATCAATCAGTGTACATTCAGTTTATTCATCAAATTCCCAAACTTAATAATTCCTATAACATTCGGCCCTAAGGTTCTTTTTCAATAAATTCATTTTTGATTCTAATTCAACCTTTATATACTTTCAAAAGTGAGTAATTCTTTTAATAACTCCACTAGGGCAGAATCGGTTTTCATGCTTCATCTACCAAAATTTTTCTAACTTTAATTAAATAAAATACAGCAGCCCTATTCTTTATTAAGTGAAGACAAATCCTATTACTTACATCTAGTGTAGGTTCGGTTCACAGTATTCACAAGGCCTAAAATATTTGAAATCAACTATCTTCTCCTATCTCCTAAGGGTGCGCTACGACATGCATAGTAAGTTGTCTAAAATATTTTCCAGCAAACAGAGAACAACAGACTCTTCTCCAGCAACGTTATAAAAAAATATATATAAAGATATCATGCTGTCCAGAATTTACAGCGAAACAGTGGACAATGGATCACCAAACAGCAGCATTTTTCAGCCACAACAGTGAGCAGAAATCATATGTGCGGCAACCTTTTCTCAAGAAGATAAATTATTTTAAGCCTTACTAACCCTATTTGGTGCGCTATAAGAGGATATAAGGTGTTGTCCACATAACTTTGCTTAATAAAAAGTCTAGATATATATATAACATGCAAACAGTACCACTTATTAATTTTTTTTAGGATCATTCTTAGGTTTATTCAACTCATGTTTTCAGTCTATGACCTAAGGGTACAAAATGGCAGAATTTTAGAAGAGCCATAAAATAATTAAAAGGTCTATTTCCCTAGCATGTCTCACGGTTTAACAGAGAAAAAGGAAGGATTTGGTGCTTACCTCTTGCAAGCACACACACAAGGAAACACACGAAATGAGAAGCAACACCAAGCCTCCTAAGCTCCACGAAGGCAACAGGTCCAGCCCTCCTAAATGGTGATCGTACGCACAAGGAGAAAAGGTGGAAGACTAGAGTCAAGGTTTAATCGTGCATGCAGTCGGAGGTTCCTCTTATGCTCCAAGGCTTCGGTCTTCTTGTTATGTGGAGTTCGATCAACAAGAAATAAAGGAGGAAAATGCTGAGTGATTTTGTTCCCTGCTCAAGGAGCACGCAGCCTTGCTAGAATAAGGGAAAGGGAAAGATTCAGGTGTTGTTGTTCTTGATATCCTTCTATGTTGGCTCACGGTTTTTTTTTTTTTGTGAGGGAAGGAAAATGTTATAACAATGATTCTGATGTGCTTAGCTAGGGTGAACACGGTCAAGAGGAGAGGGGAAGACCAGGTTTCTGTTTAAGGGTTAAGAGTTCAGCCACAACTTATATTACACAACGCATAAGAAGGAGGAAGAGAAGAGTTTAAAATCTGATTGCAATATCACCCAGGGCCAGAATTTTATCAAGACCTCTCCTTACCATGCGCACATGTGAGTGTGGGGAAAGGGTGTAAGGTTTCTGCCCACTAAAGGGCACCTGCAAGCTGATCAGTTTTATATTCTTCATTGGGCGCATGTGGAGGCTGCTAATTGATTTGGTTTATTCTTGTTAATCTTACAAGCAACCGGTTCAGTCTTCCTACCCTAACTATGCGCACAAAAGAGGAAAAAGTGTGGCTGTGATTTCTGCCCAAACAAATATCATGCAATCTGACTCATGTGAACTGATTGGTTGCGTGGAATTAAGGCTGAACCAACTCAGCTTGAAGGCAACAAGGTATCAGATTTTTCTGCCCTATGTAGCGCTACATGCAAGGGGGATAAGGTGGCTGATGTGTTTGCCATGTGGAGGCTATATCCCAATCAAGGGCTGCCATGGAAGGATTTCTAAGATGAGGTAGGATTAAGGCAAGGTGTGGAGAACTTGGGCTGAGTTGATGCACCCTCCCAAGGCCCTATGGTTCGACCAAAACAACTTGGGAATAAAAGACTACAAGCCCAAAAGACACTACCCATGAACTTATAATTCCCAAGCCTTTTAATTAATTTAGTTCTTTCTTGAAATTGCTATTAATTAAGTCCTACATCTTTTCTAGGGCTTTATATGCCTAAACATAATTTTCTAACCTATGATAAAAATTCTAATAATCTCCTAACTCGATATCACTTAATAATCACATAATTCGAACTCCAACAAGTATTACTTGTTGTTCGACCTTAGCACACATGCACTCTACATTTTATAATATTTCATGTATTTTCCTTAATTTTAATTCCTTGCTATGGAAACTGGCTACATTCTCTGAAGACAAAGCAAGCACTTCCAACAATTCGAATTTAATATAAACATCCATAATCCTCATAGTAATTTGTATATACTTCCTAATCACTTTTTATGTTACACCTCACTTATATGGAAACAGTGGAATCAATTTACCTCTCTTCCTATACGTATACTCAATTAGAAAATCCCCTGGTTCTCATATGTTACAATTAAATTATTCCTATACTTATAACTAGAAATTCACATGCCTAAAATAGATACTCACCTTCCATGGTAATACGAATAATTCCCTAATTTAATTTAACTTCATCCCAAAACTAACATTCATATAATCCGAAGACAAGTGCTCTACCCCATTCCTAATTGTAATTTAAATAGGCTCCTAATTAGGCGGGATGTTACAGCTATTTAGGTATACATGCTTGCAAATAAAAGTGAAACCTTTTCTAGGTTGTGAAAAATTTATTCTAATGATTCAGACTCAATTTCAGAAAATAATTAAGTTGAACCGGTCCGATAATGGCCCAGAGTTCAAAAATAATAATTTAACTAAGTTGTACACAAATATGGGCATTTTGAGTCAAACATCATGTGTTCATACACCGGAACAGAAAGGAAGGGTGGAACGAAAACATAGACACATACTTAATGTGTCTCGTGCGTTGTTGTTTCAGGCAAACCTGTCGGTTGAGTTTTGGGAAGAAAATGTCTTAGTAGCAGTCTATCTTATGATCGAACCCCATCTAAGGGTCTTGGAGGTCGAACCTCACATGAATTGTTATAGGGTATTATTCCACTTGATTTTGAACATTTGAGGGTTTTTGCCAGTTTATGTTTTGCAGTGGTTTGCCCCGAACCGCATGATAAATTCAGTTCTAGTTCACGTCATTGCATTTTCATTGACTATCCCGTTAATCAGAAGAGGTGGTGTGTGATGGATCTAGAAACTCGAAAACATTTTGTGAGTCGTGATATTAGCTTTCAAGAAGATGAATTTCCATTTACAGCAAGAAACCATGTTGTTGATGAAGTTTTCCTGCCAATTCTTCCTGTCATTATACCACACAGTTTTGATCTTATTTGTGATATTCAAAATGAGTTGTCTGTTGCTAAAGTGAGGGGGAGTCCTACATCCACGTATCTGGCAGAAAACGTTAAGGAAGAACATGAGGATGAACCCGATACTATTACAGGACCTACAAAGGTTGTTGTTGCTCCAGCAGAAGATCCACTTATACGTCGTTTTATTCGGACTCGGAAGCAACCAGAATATTCAAACCAATATGCCTGCAGAATTGAAACACATAGTGCCTTTGCACTTGTCACCATTTTCGGTTGTGCTGCTCATATAAGGTACCCTTTACACAATTATGTTGATTTCGATAAGTTTTCTCCTAAACATCGAGCATTTTTAGCCGTTGTTGATGCAAGATATGAGCCAACAAATTTTCGTGAAGTAATGATGGATATTAGGTGTATTGATGCAATGCGAAAGGAGATCTCGGCATTTAAGTAAACCAATATATAGCGTATCACAAACCTTTCTCCAAAAAAGCATGCCTTGCCTAGTAAATGGGTTCTCAAAATAAAATATAATGCAGATGGTTCGATCGAGCAATACAAGGCTCATCTTGTTCTTTCAGGAAATCGATAGTTTGAGGGAGAAGATTATCGTGAAATGTTTGCACTCGTTGCCAAAATGGTTAGAGTGTGAACATTGCTTGTTGTTGCATCTGCAAAGAAATGGGAGGTGCATCAGTTAGATGTATATAATGCATTTTTAAATGGAGAATTGGAGGAAGAAGTCTATATGCGCTTTCCGCCAAGATTCCGGCCATCCATTAGTTCTTCTCATCAGGTGTGTCGTCTTCAGAAGTCTCTATATGGTATAAAGCAACCCCCGCGCAACTGGTTTTCTAAGCTCTGTTCTTCGTTACTCGAATATGGATTTGAACAATCCAAGGCTGATTATACATTATTTTATTTTTCTCATAGTGATGTATTTTTAGTTCTTTTGGTGTATGTGGATGACATCATCTTATTTGGGAACAATATTGTAGCTTGTATGCAGGTGAAAAATTATCTTAACACTTACTTCAAGATCAAGGATCTGGGACCATAGAAGTATTTTATAGGAATAGAGGTTGCCCAGAGTCAGGAGGGTATTTTCTTGTGTCAATGGAAGTACGCAATAAGCATTTTCGCCGAGGCAAGCTTGAGTGGGAGCAAACCAGCAGTTACTCCCATGGAACAAAATCACAGGTTAAATCTTGATGATGGACCTTTATTTGACCAACCAGAACGTTGTTGGTAAACTTGTATACTTGACCATCACTAGGCCTGATTTGAGCTATGCGGTTCATGTTTTATCATAGTTCATGCAGGCGCCACGTGAGGCATATTTTCATGGGGTTACTCTTGTTCTGCGATACATAAAGAAGAGTCTTGAGCAAGGTGTTTGCTGCCTTCTATTAGTGATTTAAAGTTACATGGTTATTTTGATTCAGACTAGGCATCATGTCCCCTTACACGGTGATCTATTACAGGTTATTTTGTCATGCTTGGTCACTCTCCCGTATCTTGGAAAACAAATAAACAAGTCATCGTAGCTCGTTCTTCAGTAGAGGTCGAATACAGGGCCATGGTTGTGTTTACTACCGAGTTGATTTGGCTTAAAGGATTTCTCTCGAGCCTTAGAGTTAATCATTCTGGTCCTATGGATCTCCTATGTGATAATCAAGCAGTACTTCATATTGCTTCTAATCAAGTGTTTCACAAGCGAACTAAACACATTGTGCTTGATTGTCGTTTTGTTTGGGATCATATTTTTGCGAGTCATATTGCTACAGTGCATGTTCGTTCTCAATTTCAGCTGGGAGATTTGTTCACAAAGACTCTTGGACACTCGGTCTTCCATGATTTCCTTCCCAAGTTGGGCAGTTCATCTTTACATGCTCCAACTTAAGGGGAAGTGTAACGCCCAGCCGCTTCAAGAATCAATGATTATCCCCACATACTAACACGAGACTTTTCAGTGTGCTTTTTCCTCACTCGCACACTTCCCGGAAAACTTCCCAAGAGGTCACACATCTCATAATTGCTCCAAGTCAAGCACACTTAACTATGGAGTTCTTTCGTTTCGGGCTACCAAAAAGTAGATGCATCTTGTTAGTATAGGTAGTACCAATTAATTCTTATAAGCTATCCCAAACTGTGCAGTCTCATACTTGCACAGTCTTTGGAATCCCTCTCTTTCGGGTGTCGATTCGATCCATTCATGCATGTAACCCCCCGCTGGAAGCCTGTCAGGAGCCGCTCCTTGTCCATGCCCTTTCGCACCGGCGATCACTCCCCGCCCTCATCAGCGCTCAGGATGTTACATGCCCACCAGCTTCCGCTGGTTCGTCCTCGAACCACACCGTACTAGAAGAGAAACCTTGCTCTGATACCACTTGTAACGCCCGACCGCTTCAAGAATCAATGACTATCCCCACATACTAACACGAGACTTTTCAGTGTGCTTTTTCCTCACTCGCACATTTCCCGGGAAAACTTCCCAGGAGGTCACCCATCCCAAAATTGCTCCAAGTCAAGCATGCTTAACTATGGAGTTCTTTCATTTTGGGCTACCGAAAAGTAGATGCATCTTGTTATTATAGGTAGTACCAATTAATTCTTATAAGCTATCACAAACTGTGCAGTCTCATACTTGCACAGTCTTTGGAATCCCTCTCTTTCGGGTGTCGATTCGATTCATTCCTGCATGTAACCGCCCGCTCGAAGCCTGTCAGGAGCCGCTTCTTGTCCATGCCCTTTCGCACCGGCGTTCACTTCCCTCCCTCATCAGCGCTCAGGATGTTACAGGGAGTATTGGAGGTTGTTGTTGTTACATATTTTGAATTTTGAATTTAATCTAGAGTATTACGTTTTGATTTAGAATTTAATATAATTTAGAGCAGATAGGATTTGTGCATTTTGAATTTTGAATTTATTATAATAGGAGTTGATTGCTTTTTGTATTTAATGTAATAGGAGATGATTACGTTTTGTATTTAATGTAATAAGAGTTGATTGCGTTTTGTTAGGAGTTTCAATCTTATAAGTTGGTTACAGGTTGTCGCCCATTCAAATTTATTTATAATTTGTAATTCTGAACCTATTTATGAGCAACATTTCAATAAAATGAGTAAAAGTTTAGATACCAAATTTTATTTGAAAATACTTCTCCTTGAAAGGAGAGGTGTCTCATTATGTCATATAGAATTTGATTTGCGTGTTTGAATTTTTTTTTTAAAAGTATGTGGGCCCCAA